GGCTGGAGGTAAGCCAAAATATTCGAATGCTCAAAGAATGCGTAGGGCTGAGCATGAAAGGAATTTCGTTGTTCTAGTGGCTATTTCAGAGGTGCCATATGATTTCAAAGAGCGACGCATTTTTTTGCGTCACCCGGTATATGTGATAGATATATGTTGCAAACAAGAGGTGAGGAGCATGATTGTTTTAAAGGGGCGATTTTGAAACATGCGATGAAATACTTTCAGACATTTCCGTCTAAGTATTCTGTTCAGTAGATCAATTAGTAGTCATCCGCTCACCTCTTGCAACATGATCTAAAATCTATTCAGGTTTCGGTGGTAAATGTCATTGGCTTGTCTTGTCAGAATGTACGGCTTCTAGCATAAGTTTCTTAAACATGTTCTCTCTATTTTCTCTTTTCATGAGTCCACTAAATGTTTATGTTAAATCTGCTTACGTAGCAAGATTCGTAATTTAAAAAATCATGTATTTTCTGAAGGCCTGAAAGTTCCAAATTATCTATCAATATCGCATTGATTCATTCACAGATAATTCGTGTTTTAGAATATTTCCTTGAAACTCATGTCATATAATTCATTAATTGAATGTCAAACTGGTAAATACATTTCTACAGGAAGAACCCAAGGAAACTAATGAAAGAATAAAGGAACTCAGGCAAAACCAGGAAGAAAGCGAAATTGAATAATGTTTAAAATGTATAGCAACCTGAAGCAAACTACATATCATTCTGCGCTACTCACATTTGACAAAAGCTTGGAACCCGTTTTCAGGGACGAGCTCGCCGCCTCCCTCGTAAACCAACTGGCAGGTGCCATCCGTCTCCTTGAAGTTGAAGGCGTGGCACCGGAATGACGGCTTGTCCTGGGCGCATGCGGCGCTGCATTCCTCAAAGTCAGCCGTGATCTCATTTGACACAAATCCGTATCGGTGCCCGGGGTGTATGGACCAATACACCAAGGGTTGGAATGCTGATCCGACCCAGAGGAGGCTGGAAAGCGCAGCTAACGCCAAGAAATAGCCCATCTCCCTGTCAGGATAAGAGAATGCCATTAACACATTTGCATGATGTGTTGTAGAAGTCGCTGAAAAACAAGTATTTCTCATTTCCTCATGAACCCATGCAGTATATTCCATAAATCAAAACGTACTACGTACGTACAGTCTTTTGGTCACTCATGCGCGATCGTCAATATATCAAATCATTCTAGTGGTACAGGGGCTTGTGAAAGAGTAGATCTGTGTCTTGGCCGGCACTGTCTCGCTATTATTTTGTTTGTCCGAAATATCGAAAGAACTGGACTATAAGTCTCGCTGCCCATGGGGAACTTTCCGCCTAGGTGCCCTTCTTACAATGAAACATTCACTTCAATAGAAACCTTTGCGGATGTCGAATTCAGAGTAGANCTAGGTGCCCTTCTTACAATGAAACATTCACTTCAATAGAAACCTTTGCGGATGTCGAATTCAGAGTAGACAGAGAGAGTCGCAGCTCGAGGGCGCGTGTACAATGTTGCTAGGTTTATGCGTGAAATGTTGAATCTGGGATGGCAAACTTCATACTCTCCTCCCATTTCCATGCGACGCGGCCGTGCAGTCCATCGAAAATACATATTGATGACTCGGATATATTATTTATACCCATGTGGTAACAATAGTATTTGTCATTCATTTCAATATTTTATGGTTAGGATGCGACGAAAACGATAATTTTCCCCCTTTCCCTCAGTTGATCCGGTTTCTCAAGCTATTCCCGGTCTTCTTTGCTTATCGTGTAAGTAGAGTTTCCTGGTATGCTTAATCCAACCACCCAATTCAAACTCCTTACGCCATTGTTAATCCTGTTGACGTCATGTGTCAGCAAAGAAAAATTGTTGCCTGAGGCGGCAATTAAGTGAAATATGCCAAGGGGTTACGTCCCTTGGAAATATGCCACGTCCCTTGGAAAAATGCCAATTTCCAAGGCACGTGGACGGGTGGACCATCGAAAACACCCCCAGTTGTCTGGGCCTTTAAACTTTTTACTATGTCCTACCTATGACAGCTGGTAAAAGAATCGGATCTAAGCTGATGCATAGATCAAGGAATTCTGTCGACATCGAATTATAATGAGCTTATGTATAATAACGGCGACGCATATACGACATTTCTTTAAATGATCAAGTTCCTTTTACTGATATAAGATTACGTCTATATGATGATTCTCTTTGCTACGTCATATCACGCTTCCTCTCACGTTTCGTCACAGTCATGTTTTATGTAGACTCACGGAATCAACACGTTTCGAGTTGAAGTTCCTTCTTCCTGTTCCTTCGTATTCTGCCAGTTTCTCTTCGATCACCTTACCAAT